GGTGGCACCTGGGGGGACCTGGGGATGGGGATGGCCAAGGATGGAGCGGGGCGGGGTGGAGGGCTTGGGGTGGAGGGGGTTGAGGATGGAAAGGGATGGGGATGGAAGGGGATGGAGATGGAAGGGGATGGAGATGGAAGGGGATGGGGATGGAGGGAGATGGGCCGGAGGGGGATGAGGATGGAGGTGGTTGAGGATGGAAGAGGATGAGGATGGAGGTGGTTGAGGATGAAGGTGATTGAGGATGGAAGAGGATGAGGATGGAGGTGGTTGAGGATGGAGGGGGTTGAGGATGGAAGGGGATGGGGATGGAAGAGAATGAGGATGGAGGTGGTTGAGGATGGAGGGGGTTGAGGATGGAAGGGGATGGGGATGGAAGACGATGAGGATGTAGGTGGTTGAGGATGGAGGTGGTTGAGAAGGGAGGGGGCTGAGGATGGAAGAGGATGAGGATGAAGATGATTGAGGATGGAAGGGGATGGGGATGGAAGAGGATGAGGATGGAGGTGGCTGAGGATGGAGGGGGTTGAGGATGGAGGGAGTTGAGAAGGGAGGTGGTTGAGGATGAAAGGGGATGAGGATGGAAGGTGGTGAGGATGAAGGTGGTTGAGGATGGAAGGACATGGGGATGGAAGAGGATGAGGATGGAGGTGGTTGACGATGGAGGTGGTTGAGAAGGGAGTTGGTTGAGGATGGAAGAGGATGAGGATGGAGGGGGATGAGGATGGAAGGGGATGAGGATGGAGGGGGTTGAGGATGGAGCGGGTTGAGGAGGGAGGCGAATGGGGACATCTGGTTGTAGGGATGCCTGGGAATGGGGTGGATGGAGGGGGTTGGGATGGCAGCATCTGCACATGGTGGTGACGAAGGATGGGGACATCCGGGGACGGGGACACCTGGGGATGACGGTGACCAGGTCATGGTGACACCTGGGGATGGTGGTGGCCGAGGACAGGGACACCTGGGGATGGGGATACTTGGGGATGGAGATGGATGGGGACATTGGGGATGGGGACATCTGGGGATGGTGGGAACAGGGGTGGTGGCACGTGGGCGTGGGGACATCCAGGGGACATGTGGGGATGGCGGTACCTGCCGATGGGGGTGGCCACACATGGAGACACCTGGGGATGGAGACGGCTGGGGATGGAGGTGGCCAAGGATGGAGACGCCTGGGGATGGAGACGGCTGGGGGTGGAGGCACCTGGGGACGGGGACACCTGGGGATGCAGATGGATGGGGACAGCCGGGGTGGGGACATCTGGGGATGCAGATGGTTGAGGATGGGGACAGCTGGGGATGGGGGTACCTGGAGATGGGGACACCTGGGGATGAGGGTGGCCAGAGATGGAGACACTTGGGGACAGGGACACATGGCAGTGGGGACACTTGGGGATGGAGGCGGCCGAGGATGGGGACACCTGGGTCAGGGGCGCCTGGGGATGGTGGCACCTGGGCATGGGGGTAGCCAGGGGTGGGGACACCTGGGGACGGGGACACCTGGGGATGGTGGTGACGCTAAGGGAGAACATCCCGAGGGGACAGTGACACCAAGGGACTGTGGAACCAAAGAACATCCCTGCGGACGGTGACACCAAGGGATGGTGACACCAAAAGACAGTGACACCGAAGAGCAACCCCAGGGAATAGTGACCCCAAGGGGTGGTGACACCAGGGGACAGCAGCACCAAAGGAGAACATCCCCCGGTACGGTGACACCAGGAGATGGTGACACCAAAGAACATCCGCGTGGCTGGTGGCACCAAGCGCTGGTGGCACCAAGGGACTGTGACGCCAAAGGAGAACGTCCCCRGGGGACAACACCTCCACGGGACAGCGACACCACCCAACGGTGCCTCTGGGTGGTGGCAGGGACCCCAGGGAGGGTGGCAGGGCTGGGGACAGTGCCCCCCGGGGCAGGTGACCCRCGTGGGGACACGCCGCGGCCACGGCCACCCCCGCACCTTGTTGGGCTTCACCGCCCGCTGCAGGTTCTCGATCCACTTGTCGCGCTCGGCGGCCGAGCGGCAGGCGAAGCACTTGGTGCCCGACGCCGTGGTCACCTGCGGGGGACAGCCAGGTGCCACCGCGACCCCCGGCGACGACGGGGGCCGGCGGCGGGCACGAGGGTGAGGAAGGGGCCGCGGCGCGAGGAAGGACCGAGGGCCCCTTGGGCCTGGAGAGGACGGAGCGGGACGCGAGCAAGGTGGACGAGGCGACGAGGACGCGGCCGGACTCCTGCTGGCTCCGGTGTCCCCTGTGTCACCTGCTCTCCATGTGCCCTTGTGTCACCTGCACTTGGTGACCCCCTGTGTCACCTGCTCCGGGTGT